ATATGCACATATATATTATATACACATATATATTTGTCTCGTGCTTATATCACAGTATAATGCAAGTCATTAGGAAAACACTACTCCTTGCAGAAATTTGGTGACCCAGATTTCTTTTATCTTGTGGTTGGCCCTCCATGAGTCCTCTGTTCAGCCAATGGATAGGGCAAGAGAATGAGGATGTATGGGAGTTTTTTATAGGCCAAGTATGGAAACATGATACACTTATATTCACACTTCATTGGTTGAATACAAGTGTATTCTTCAAGAAAGACTAGAAAATATAGTCTGCCTAAAGACTCATGAAGAAGGGAATGCTTAACAATTTCTGTCACACTTACTATGTGCCCTGCACTCAAGTAGATACGTATTTTCTCTACCCAAGGAATAAAGTATTGTTCATTCCATAAGGAAGGCACTGAAGTGCCTAAGAAGAAAGCAGGGAGCAGTCAGATCCATTTGAAGACAAGGGGTGTTGATCAGGGAAGGTTTCACAGAAGAGGGTGTTGAGCTAAAGATTTCTGATAAGGTTTTCTCAGTGAGAAAATAAGGTGCGCACTCCAGCAAGAACAAAGGCATGGCAATACAGACAGAAGGCAGTGTGGCCCCGCAGGGCCATGCATCCTTGAAGTGATGAAGGAGAATTGATAAATAATGGACTTCCCTGGCGGTCCAGTTAAGACTCCGCACTTCCACTGCAGGGGGTGTGAGTTCAGTCCTGGTGGGGGAACTAAGATCCCACATGCAGTACAGCGTGGCCAAAAAAACAAAAAAAATTGGTGAATGATGAGGCTAGAAAGTTCATTGAGATCAGACTGTGAAAGGCTTTAGATGGTATGCTAAGGAGATTGGATTTACATATATTTGCACAGCAGGGCGCCTTCAGAGGTAGTGTGATGTGATAGTATTTAGAATGCTAGATTTATTTATTTTGTAATTGTTGAGCATTTCATTTCTACATACTGTGCTTGCTACTGGGGATACATAAAAGGAATACATTCCTTGCTCTGGTGGTAATATAAAGGGTTTATTAGAGGGATAGTATTAAAAGTACATAGATCAAATAGGAGCTCCTTTTTTTAAAATATATTTATTTATTTTTGGCTGTGTTGGGTCTTTGTTGCTGCACACGGGCTTTCTCTAGTTTCTGCAAGCAGGGACTACTCTTCATCGCGGTGCGTGGGCTTCTCATTGCGGTGGCTTCTCTTGTTACGGAGCATGGGCTCTAGGTGCACGGGTTTCAGTAGTTGCGGCACGTGGGCTCAATAGTTGTGGCTCACGGGCTCTAGAGCGCAGGCTCAGTAGTTGTGGCGCACGGGCTTAGTTGCTCCGCGGCGTGTGGGATCTTTCCAGACCAGGGCTTGAACCCGTGTCCCCTGCATTGGCAGGCGGATTCTTAACCACTGCGCCACCAGGGAGGTCCCAGGAGCTCCTTTCTTATTCAAAGTGAAAAGAGGTGAGGTCCTGAACATGAATATTGGCAATGAAAATGCAAAGGACTGGATGGATTCTGGAGATAATCTGTGGAGTGGAATCTGACGGAACTCCTGGTCAGTCGATGTACTGCATGAGGATATGATTTGGAGGATAGTGTCACAAAGGTTTCTAACATGAGAGAAAACAGGAAATACCCAGAAAAGAGGATCAAGTTTGAGGGGAAGATTATGAGTTCAATCATGAACACGATTTTGAAATATCTATGTGGAGGTATTCAGGAAGTAATTGGGAAAAAAGTTCTGATCGTCTGGAAAGAGGCCAGAACTGGAGCTATGATAGACACATGGGTTACATTTTAGACCTTCTATTTACAAGGCTGCATAGCAACAGAACTCCAAGAAATGAAAGGTGGGTTAAAGAGACAGCAGCCAAAAGAGGCTGATTGTTAGAATTAGGAGAACATTTTGAGAAAGATGAGGTAGGTTAGCTGTTTAAAAAAAAAATTGGAGAGATTATAGCAGGATAAAACTGAGATAACCATTAGATATGGCTATTATAGAGTTTTTAGGGACCATTACAAAAGCTGTAGGGGCAAAATCTAGCAGGAACAAGAAAAGGCAGTAACTGGTTTGAAAGAAGAGTAAATATTGTACAGCATTTGTGAGACTTGAATGTATTTATAGTCTGAGGATAGAGAAGAGTGAGTTTGAACCTTGAGAAGCAGAAAGAACCCTAAAGGGTATGGAAGGGATTAGGTTCTAAAGCACAAGTGGATGGATTTACTTTCTGAAACAAGGCAAAAAAAGAAATAAGGACTGTTGAACATAAAAATTTGGAGGTGAATGGGAGTGAAGCTGAGAAAATATAAGGGAGTCAAGGGAGCTGGTGTGAGGTTATTGGCACTTGCAGTGGAGAAAGCTTAGTAAGTTGTAGGAAACTTCCTTAGTAAGGAAGGCAACTGTGGATGCTGATTAAGAAGCAACATGGAAGGATCCAGATTAATTTCTAAATCATTGGTTTCTAGTATAGCCAATAACACGTATATACCATTTCGTAGGGAGCTTCTGCAGCAAAAGTAGAAAAACTGGTCAGATGTGTTGGTAGCAGCTTGGCACAGCAACAAAGGAATCAGGGAGATGAGGATGTTGTTAAGTGTGGAATTGAAATGATGATCTTGGGGTTCAGGTTGGGTAGGGAAGGAAGCAAAGCCAGGAGGGCACTGTTAGCCTGGGGAGTTTGGAAGAGCCCAGGAATTGGAAGTTTTGTACAAGGTTAGTGGAAAATGTAAGTACTTTTGGTAAATGATATGCTTTACCATAGATCTTGCTGTAAAGTCCAAAAGGACTGATCATAAATTGTAAGAATAAATCTTACCACTTACCAGTTGAGTTCTTTGGTATCAAATTTTGTGGTACAGCTAATGAGATTCCATATCCCCCATCTGTAGAATGGGATTGCCACCATTTAGAGAATATTAAAAATTTTAGGATAAACTAAGTCATGTATGAATGACCATATGTTCTTTCTGATTCAAATTTAAATATAATACCATAAAGCAAAAAGGAAAAAAAGAATATTTCTTCCATATTCCCTTAATAATAGATGAGGAGTTTATCCTAGTGACTCAGTTTGAATAAATGAATTTTCTTCAAGTGAATTCATTCAGATCCTTTGTAGAGAACATACTGATTATTGATAAAATTTTCAAGTGTGTGTTTTTAAAATTAATTATTTATATTTTTACATAATTCAAAGTATTTTTATTTATACACACATATACATACTTGGGAATCTTGACTGACAGCCTGAAGCTCAATCACATAAAATATTTAACCACAGCACAAGAGCCATTTGCAGTTTAAAGAAAACCATATAAAACAATATTCCAATGAATTGTCCATGTATAGCAACAAATCAGTAAGAAAGGACAAACCAGCATAGTGAAATAGATAAATCAGATTTAGGCAGGGTAGTTTATTGAATTTAAATTGTGCCCAGTTGGCCCAAGAGCTATATATAAGCAATCCATCTTACGTTGTTAATGGAGGTTCTTGAAATCCACCTGATGTTTGCATTATTAAATTTCAGTCTAATGAGCTCTGCTAATACATATTGAAGACGGTTGTAAGGAGTAGAATGTGAATCTGAGTGGGATAATTTGAAGGAAACATAAGCTGAGCATTTTACATGACTCAAGGGGTATATCTACAATTACACATATAACCAAAATTGAATTTAAATGGAATTTCTATTATCCTTGTCCTTCTACCAGGGAGAATAAAGTGTAAATGAAGTAAAAGTCTTTAGAATTACTGGCGGTTTGTTTTTATTATCTAATTTAATAGATTCTTGCAATGATACAGAGTGGCATAAAAGTTTTAATATTTCATGACTTTAAATGCAGTCTAAGTATGTATTAAAGCTTGTAAATGGAAACAGATGTCTGTGTAATTGGATATAACACTTCACAACACCATTATATAAGTTTTACATTTTAAGAAAGTGTCAATGGTGACAGTGAAAAATCAAACTTCTGAAGAAAAATAGTTATGTATAGGGTGTGTATTTTCTTTAAATTACTCTTTTAAGCCAGGTTTTATACTTCAAAAGGATATGTTGATTTTGCATAGGAAAAATATATGGAGCAAAAAGCTGAAGAGTAAGTGTTTTTATTTTTTAAATCACGGTTTACATTGCTGTTATCATTATAATAAAGGCTCATCCAAAGTTTAATGCTGGCACAGTTTGATTCTTTTTCTTTTGACAAGGCAATACTTTTTTAACTTAATATTTCATCAACTATAATGCTATTAGAGACTTATTTTCACTTAGTTCACTCATCAGGCAGTGAGCCGGCAATAAAGGAGAATCGCTCCTTTGAGACGTTAATGCTTTGGAATAAATGATGTGCTAGAACAGAAATTTAATTAATTTACAGAGTATATTGATAGTCCCTTGTTACTGTGCTGTATATTTTTAATCTTCTCTAACATCTGTAGTAAAGTGTTTGAAAACCCCTGCAGTTGAGCAACTAGTAGATAATTAAGTAATAAGGGAAGAGGTTTCTAGAGGGAAAAAGATTCTTTTTACCAAATGCTGTCATAACATGAATAAAGAACTGCTACTATGATATGCAATGGAAAAAAATAATATGCTACCTAATTTGATACTGTTCCAAAGATGTACCAAGCTTCTTATATTTCAAATGTGAATTGTAGCGTAAGAACTTTCCCCAAAGTTTAAAACAGGTGCATTGCACTGACAAATCAGATGACTTAATGACCAACAGTTTTTCCCAGCATGCCATCATTAAACTTATGTTGCTTAAATTCGCTTTCTATTTTGTGCAGAGATTATCTTGAATAAGCTTCAAAGATTCTAAATAAATATTGTAAATAGTCTGAATAAAGATTGTAAAAGGTATATTTAGATTTTCAGTCATTTTTTTTCCTTCTGACTAGTTCACAAGAAATATGTAATGAATTTATTTTCCCTTTTTCCAGTATTTTCATCCACGATATAGGCATAAAATAAATGCAGAAATTTTATTGTCTTTGTTTCAGCAAAAGCTGATGAAGCATTGAAAGCCAAAGAAAGAAATGAAGAAGAAGCAAAGAGAAGAAAGGAGGAAGGTAAAGACATGTGTTCATTTTGTTTTAAAGAAGTCATAGTGAGGAGTCAGTGTTTGCATGATTCTCTTCATTCCCTGGATAAAGCATAGAATATAATCAAGCGCTTTAGGGGATACCTCATGCTACTTCACGAACCTAAACTATGACACAGTATATCACACTATATTCAATGTCTTGGACACTGATGTTTTCTAGCATAAGATTAGTTTATAAGCATCCTAGTGATAAGCATCTGGGCAGACTGGAAAGATATAAAATTATAAAGTGGAGTTGGTGTTGGTTTCTTTCCTTCTAACTTTTATCTTAAATTATCAAAATCAGTCATAAAAATGGATTGAAAATTTTGAAATATTTTAGCAGTGATGAAGAAGAGTCCCCTTGCAACATGACTTTAAATAAAAACGCTGTTAAGAGGTAACAAAATATGAAATGTCAGTCAATTCAGATTAAGAAATTCATCATAATTTTTGTAGATTATTTCTTTAAATAACATTGAAGCCACCACCCAAGAATATTGCACAAAGAAATCTAACACATTTTTATCTCCCCTAACAAATTTGTATTTTCCCTTTAGTTTGCTGTGATTTATGTGAGTGAAAATTTCACCTGTTTCCTTCTTAAAGGCTTTGTATATACTGTTGTAAATTACAGTGCTTAAAGCAAGATCCACGCAACTCTTTCTCAGTCAGTTAGTGGATGATGCATTTGGACTGACAATCATGTCACTCTGCTGGCTAATTAGCAGAATAACTATTTCCTCTGTGAGCTTTCAAGGAGTTGAAGCCTGTGTCCCAAAATACTAGTTTTGAGTGCTATTGTCTAAATCTGAAAATTGAGAATTTTTCCTTAGTGCATACCTTCTATTATGACAAGCAGAAAAAATTTACACCCCCAACTTACAAATGGAAGCTGAGATGTTATAGAACCTAAAATGTTTTAAGTATGATGGTTTAGAATGCTTAATAGCAGCATTCCGTCAGAGCCAAGCCCTCAAAGCAAATCCAAAAAAACAAACAACAACAAAAAAGCCCTGTAGATTTAGGTGGCAGAACACTACAAATAAGTAGATTTGAACTAAATGTGAACTAATTTATACATATAAATGTATATATAGAATTCACCTTATTTGACCCCCTTAAATCCTGACTTTATACTCTTTTCCTAGATCAACTAATTTTATGGTGTATTAAGAAAACAAGTGAATTCCACTGGCAAAAATCCTCAGTAGAATTCTGTTCTTTTGGCTTTCTGAAGTGCATATTTTGGTATTGTTAGTGAAAACAATCTATCTGATTTCAGTTATGCTTATGGTCACCCGTAGTACTAATAGATGCAAAGTAGTATAAGCAAATTATAATATTTTAGTACCGCTATGTTATATGGTATTCCGATCAATGTAACTAATTAATAACATAATAGTGCTTATAAAACACTGTGGTGCTATAAATTATAAGTGTGGCACTTATTATCAACCAACACAGTGAATATATGTTGCAATAGTTATTAGTCTAATTCCATTAATTCAGATCTTAATCGGAGTCATAACCAGTTGAAAACGGATGACACTGATGTGATAACCACAGATACTGAAATTGCTAGGTGATTTATTGTTGTGAAAAAATATATAATATGAATGCTTGCCCTAGTAACTGTTTCCTCTGTAAGCTTTCAGGGAGTTGAAGCCTGATAATGTGTTCCAAAATGCTGGCTTTAAGTGCTCAAAGAAACTTTAATACTTCAGAACCCCTCATTTACATGATGTCAATTGATATTTCTAATGGTGTCGCTCTTTTTTTTTTTTCATTAAATTAGTTCTAAACATCTTTTAAAAGATTTTTAAAATATTTAGGTAACTATAGGTACTGAAGGTTATATTGTAATTCTTTTGAAAGTATTTTTTCATTTAGACATTCACTAAGTCAAACTGACCTTGCACATAGCCTGTGATATACAGCAACCTTTTCCATTTCAGTATCTGAGAATTGTTAAAAAAAAGCACAACCCTCCAATCATAGCTGTTTTAATTAACATCTTATTAAACGTATCATTCTAACTAGAATATAAACTTTAGGACTGTAGAGGATTTAGTTAGTATCCACAATGCCTAGCATGTAGTAGATACACAGTTTCTTAATTATTTTACAATTGAATGAAAGGACGAATGAATGACCAGTTTACCCTTCCTTCTTTTAAATCCATGCTTAAGTAACTTAACTTGAGCTTGCAGTTGATTCCAAATAACATCTTTGAAAGTATAACCCAATCTTGTTATGTCTTTTCGCTAAGATAGGACCTCACTCATTAGACTGTTTCTCTAAAGAGTTACAACCATTCAAAAAGAAATCAGTGAATTTCAAAATACTATCAATATTTGCTAGTATGGATTTATCAAGTCTTTACCTGAGCTCACTGAATTTTCTGTGCATCCAAAAAACATAGGAAAATTATTACCACAAATGTTGAAGAAAAATTCTACTGGTAAAGCAACCTATATGACACTAATTTGGAAGGATAAAAGGTGTGTTTCGTTAAATAGGTTTCCTTTGCCTATATTTTGTGGGTGAAAGCAAATTACTAGCCAGATTCTTTGTTGCTGTTGTTTGCTTCCAGAATTTTTTTCTTATAAGTTGTCTAAATACTTGAATCCTATCAAATTAAACTTCCCTGAAAATGATTAATGTATAAGCTATATTTATTTTATTTCATATAATTAGTCTAGCTGCAAATTGAAACCTGAGATACATCTGTATGTGTATGTGTGTATATTTCTGCATCTGAAAGAATAATAATCCTTTATTTTTAACCTATAAGCCACTAGAAATTCAGTCTATTACATCATTTATACAATTCATCTCTTAATTTCTCAGCATGCTGATATGCAGCACAGGGTTGAAAGCATTGTTAAAATGTAGATAAATGTTATCTGCCCAGCTCTCTCTATCCATTCTCTGTCATCTCATAAAAGCTATTGTATTAGCATAGCAAGATCTGCGCCTTGCAAATACATTCTGACTATTGTGCAGTCCTTTTCTTTGAGTGTTCTTAAATCAATATCATAATTATGTTTGCCAGTATTGTATCCAAGATAAAAGTCAGACTGCTCACCAAAACTTGTCCAGAGTAACCATTTTGCCTTCCACTCTTGAAGCAGTGGTACCCCATTTAGAGTGCCCTTCATGGTCCTTACAGAGCTCAGTTGATTGTCCACCTATTGAGTATCATTATACATTTGCATGGACCCTTTTTTTTGAACCATTTACTCTCCAACTCTTTCCATTTTAGTTGAATTATATAAAGGTTACATTATTTCATAAAAGTTAGCAATATTTAAAGTTTGGGTTTATAGTTTCCTTCTTTAAAAATAAGCATTTTTTCTAACTGTATTATATTTTAGAAAAATTAAATCTTTCAGTTCTGTTTTCTTTTTATTCTTTGTCCTAATAAATGCTTGACTTTGACTTTCTCTTTTTCTCTGTATGTATTTGAAAATGTTCTGATACATATAATTAAAAATTATTTCAACTTTTCTCCTTTTGATTTCTTTCTGTATTATTGAATGCTTTAGCATAACTGCTTAGGTTTTCTGTATTCTATTTTATGTTTAATATAGTATGCATTTAAGTGTTCTAATTATGTTTTAAATTCAGTTATAAGCATTATTGTCTTTCTTTGCATTTTGACTTCTCTCTAATGTGAATTTCTCATTTGTGGCATTAGTATAATGGTTTTTAAATTCTTTTCCCCCTTGTGTTTATTCAGAATAGCCCTACCCATTGGCTAGTTTTCTGCTTCGAATATTGTTATTTCCAAAAGCGTTAGGCAACCTATTCTAAATTATTCATGGAAATGGTGGACAGTGACAATACGAACATAATATTAGGTGATTCAAGTGAAGACTTAGAAGAATCCTCAAGTCTCCTTTGTTTAAGTTGAAATCCATCAACCCTTTTGCCACATCTGCTTGACAAGAAGTAAGAGATTAGCCTTAATTTCATCTTTTCTGTTATTGTTAATCCTTTGGCAAAGCTGGGGGTAAAAAGTACTAGTAACTGAAAAGAAAAAAGGAGGTGCCAGGCAATGATCTAAGTACTTTACCTGTTTTAACTCTCTTAATCCTCATGAATTCTGAGGTTTGTGCTGTTATTATCCCTGTACTGTAGGGAGGTTAGGAAACTAAGGCATAATAACTTGCTCTATAGCTAATAAGTAGTGAAGGCAGTACACAGACCCAGGAGTATGACTCCAGTACACATTCCCCCTCTTTAAATAGCCTAGATAAATCACAACCCTACGATCAGTGTTCAAATATAATATGATTTAATCCCTCTTCCTCTGTCCTTTGCCTTCCTCTCTGGATCTCACCCTCTAGCTCTTATGTACTTGTTTACTGTTTTTTGTGTGTACTCAGACAGATCTGTACCCATTTTATGTTGCCTCACTTGTGTTTCTGGAACCGCAGAAGGTGAGGTACTCGTCAGAGACACAGTTTGTCAAAGTGTCCATGTCCTTTTCCCATAATCTCTATCTGCTTTTCTCCCCAGTGACTGGCTGGTCTGTGTAAGACACTCACTTGCCAAGTCCACACCATCCTTCAGAGCCTGGACCAGAGCCAAATCTACCCTTTCTCAGAGGTCCTGGCTCTCCCGTGCTTTGAGGTCCCTAGCATAAAGCACACTTGGCACCATGTCTTACCACACCCAGAGAGAGAACTGTTCTAATCCCTCTTTCG